GGAATTGGTTATCAAGTATATGAGAGAACAATGGGGAGACTTAGCAATTATAAGTTTGTTAGAAAATAATGAGAAAATGATAAAGAGAAAAAGAATATAAGATTATATGGAAGGTTACAGTAGAATGAGATGGGAAATATGTAAATAAGATAAGGGATTCAAGAGATAGGAGTGATTTTATTACAGAAATGACAGGAAGAAAGGATAGTAGTAAAGAAGTTTACCAAATTGTTATTAAGAAGGACACAGAATGATGTAAAGGATAGAAAGAAATTGGAGGTGAGGAAGTCATGAGTGATAAAGGGAATTGAGAAATGAGTAAGAGGGTTACAGAATGTTGAGGAGGGTATGAGTATGTGGAAGGAGGGATTGAGTGAGTAGAGGGGAGGTGGAGGTGAAGAGGAGTAGGGGTAGGGGTAGGAAGGATGGGAGGAGAGGGAGAAAGAGGTAGAAGAAGAAGGGAGGAAGAAGGGAAGAAAGGAGAAATAAGAGATGTATTTGATGGGAAAAGATTGTGTATGATTGTATGATGGTATGTTTTATTGGATGCATGGTAATTTGATGTTTTGTATAATCAAGTCTAATAAAAATTAATTTTTTTAAAAAAAAAAGAAAACTTGCATGATGTATTTTCTGCATCTTGGTTGGCCAATAAAAGCATCATCCTTTTTGTGTATTTTGGATTTTGTTGTATTTAGCTGCATGACCAACCCAGCTTCCCCTTGATATGTTTCATGCATCAAAAGAATAACTGTTGCAAAACAGGGAAGATCTCTCAAACTTCAAAGTTCACACCTAATTCCCAGAAGATTTTGACATGGCTTACAGGAAAACTGTAAACACACTTCAGTGATGGAAAGATAATTAGTTAGGTCAAGTGAAATAATACAAAACAGAAATCATTGTACCTTCATGCAATTGGGTATTACTTAAAATTGGTATGTGTGTGTATGCACACAGACAATTTTTCTGAATGAACTTCTAGGATCCTCTCAACCTCAAAACAAAACATCAAAGAAAGAAAGAAAGAAAGAAAGAAAGAAAGAAAGAAAGAAAGAAAGAAAGAAAGAAAGAAAGAAAGACAAACAGCCCACAAGCTATCATCTGGAATAAATTGCTGGAAATTTTGCTAAAGCAACTCTGACTGCAAGTCTGACAGGTTTGTAAGAAGGTAGAGGGCTACTTGGGGGCACTCAGAAGGGAAACCAAGTTGTTAGAGAATTTTACTCATTTCAATAGTAGAAAATGCCCTCCTCAACTTGCAATCTGGAATAGGTATACCAACCAAACATCTGAAACTGAAATGATTCACTTCATCTTGAGGGCTGTTCCATTTCCTCAGGATCTTAAGAATCTATACTTGTCCCTTCCAATTAATGGGGGATCTGTTCCGCTGCCCCCCCCCCCAGTGAATTGGAAAAACCGCAAATAGTGGAGCCCCATTGTTTTTAATGGCTGTGTGGCCCTGCACACACACCATTTTGTCCCTCCTGGCTTCCCATCTGCGGAAATTCAAAACACTAAATGGAAAGTCAGCAAATCTGGAGGGATGACTGTATATTTCTTGGCTCTTTTTTTATACTATAGGTAAGGAATT